AGATGATCCAGGGATAGGAATGGCGGTGCCGTTGGCGGGGGATGTTGATGTTGACGGTGATGACGAAGTGGTGTTTCGGGGCGGACGGATGGCGACACTGGAAGTAGTTGGTTGTTGTTGAGGCTGATGATGGTGATGTGATGTAGAAGCAGCAGTGGTGGTTGTGTTTGCAGCAGCTGCAGTGGCAGTTGTGGTGGTTGTTGTATCTCGGGCGTGCTTGTTTGGCTGATGTTGATGGGGAGCGGCAGTAGAGATGGAGGGGCCCTGAGGACGGAAGGCGGCGAGGAAAGAAGAGAGGAAATACGGTCGTTGTGAAGGCATCGTGGTTATCGGCCTGACGTGTTTGTGATGTGATGAAGAGAGAGAGAGGTTGGCGGTAGACAAGGTCGACGGAGGGAGTAGCCGAGCGACGGTCCGAGCAAAGCCGAGTTGTTTTTGTTCGCGATGATGTCGGAATATGCGCCCTTGAAAGAGAACCAGTGCCTTGTTATTTCGAGTTGCTTGTGTTTTGTGATCGACCGTCGAAGTAAAGTGACTCAATTGTTTGTCGGTGGAAATGGGATGAAGAAGTGGAGTCGAGAGATATGAAGAAGAAACAGAGTCAGTGACAGTCTGGGGAAGAGCAACGGTTTAATCGTAGTCACTGACGTCGATTTTTTGTGGAGGAAGAGAAACGAGGGAGGGGAAAACCCGGAACCAAGCAAATGCTAATGGCAGGGATGTCATAGGCCAGGCCTTTGCATTTAAAGTGTGTGCACGTGCGGAACACCAATCAGAGAAGACCAGGCCCTACTGTATCTAGAGGGGTGTTAGTGTTAGTGTTAGGGGGGGCTGTAGAGGATGGCTCGGTTGGGCTTGCACTAGTTGAAGTTGAAATGCGGAGGTGGTTTGAGAGTTTAGGGTGAGGATTTGATCTTATTGGGCATACAAGTTGAAGAGAGGGTTGACGGCTTGGTAGAGGTGTGATACTGGCGGTTATGTTGTGAACAAGAGGTTTAGGGATCAACTAGTTACCGTACAGCAGTAAGTTCACTATACTGTTCACTAGCTAGACTAGATATCATGATATTAAGAATGCACTAATCAAGGAACTACAGTGAGTAAAGTGAATTGGCTGTCAGTTGACTACAGACATTGAAAATATCCCTTGGCCCGTCTTACTACATCCGTTAAATGCTCCCCGATTCAGACCCCAATTCACAAAAAGCAAAGAGAAAGAAAAGGTCATTGTAAGCGAGATCCTTCAGCGTCCAGTCCAACGCCTGCCTAGTTAGACCTTTCCATGCAGCATCACAACTCGTCTTGTCCAGGTCTCGAAGATCACTTCCACTTTCAAAACTAGTAGGCGGCACTAGCCAAGACAGTGATAACCCTGTTTTGAACCACCATTTTATCAATCATCATCGCGATGAGTATTGATAAGGTCGATACAATGCTTTGACTGTCCTGAACAGCGACTCGTTCTTGTTCTCGCATAACTAGTTCATATCCGTATTGTTCCCGTGTTAATAAAGCAGCCCTCTTTCGTCCCCGGAGTCTCGGGTCAAAGGGTTCTTGGTGCCAGCTGAATGTGAATGTGATGCGTATATGCGAGCATGATCTGATAATATCTGACAATGCAACTGCAGCAAACACATGGTGATCACTAGACTCTGGGGTTGGGAGACTGGTGAGTAAAGGGCATCATCCGTTTGGTCGATCGGATAATCTGCAATAACAGTCGGATTATTGCAGCAATTGACAAGTAATATCAATTTGTAGTAAAGAAGATGTACGTACATACGATTACCTACCTAATAATTCATGATCGCTGCTCTGCCTCGGCTACCCTAGATTTTAACTTAGAGATTGACTGAAACTTACTTACGTCCATCGTCTTACAAGCCAACAACTCATAACTACCTACTGCAAATAACCTAACTGACCACGATAATACTTGGCCATGCTGTGTAACAGTACTGCACTATTCGTTGAGATGCCTGCCCTCTCAACAACTCGCGCCATACCTTACTATAGCGGTGTAGACTGTAGTAGACTGTAGACCTAGACCCCTCACCAGTCACCAGTCACCAGTCACCACCAACCACCCATGACTATTCGTACCCATATTCCCCTCCACAGAAAAAACCCGCCGCCAGCGCATAATGACAACTGGCTGTAGTTGTGTTGAATAATCCATCCATCCATTGCCTCTTGCATGCAGTCTTTGCATATTCCCACTCCCGTGATACCCTCATAAACTCCATCCCACTCAGCAATGCCCAGCTTCAAAGCCCGCATCCTCAGCTGGATCGTCTGGTGGTGGTTCAAGAGCACATGGAGTTCAGCAGAGGGGATCAACAACCGCATCGCCAAGGAACGTCTTCGTCCCGAGCGTGTACCTCCCAAGCACCTCTACAAAGAGTTCGCTGTTGAGGAATACAAGAGAAAAGGCCACATTGCGGATTATCTCGTTTTCATAGTCTCTCCAAAGACAGAGACGCCAACTCGTGGTCGGATCTTGTATCTCCATGGCGGTGGTTTCGTCTTTGATATCACGCCCCAGCACTGGGAGCTGGTGGCTCAGCTTGCGAGGCGTCTGAATGCTACTGTTACCGTACCGATATACCCTCTCGGCCCTGAGACGTCGCTTATGAAGATGTACGAGTTCGTGCAGCCGCTCCACGACGAACTCGCATCAGCACCAGATCGGACGCCGTTTTGGGTTGTCGGTGATTCAGCTGGAGGAACCATGGCTCTTGTCCTGACGCAAAATGCGAAGTTGGCTGGTAGACAGACTGCGCAGAGAATTGTGCCCATCACGCCTTGCACTGACTCCAGTCTCGTCAATCCTGAACTTCACAACGCAGCTCTCAAGGATCCATGGCTCGACGTCCCTGGCATTGCCGAGATCACAAGACTCATCTGTCCAGAGATGGATACCCAGCATCCCAATGTTAGTCCCATATATGGAGATCTGAGACTACCGCCGATGCTGGTGTTTGCAGCTGGCTTGGATCTCTTGACGCCTGATACCAAGAAGATGGTCGAGATAGCCAAGGAGCAGGGTACAAAGGTCGAGCTGGTGTATGGAGAGGGCATGATACACGTTTGGCCTATTCTGCCAATTCAAGAGGGCAGGCAAGCTGTGGACAAGATGATCGAATGGTTGGGAATCAGTTGATTATTTCTTTGGGTAGATTGTCTTGGGCTACGGCGTTGGGTTTGGGGTTTTGAATGGCATGAGGATACCCCTGAGAAATGTGATGACGACGACCACTACTACTGCTATATATGAGAATCGTATGTTTATGATTGGAATGGGATGGGATACGATACAGGATACTTTCATATGTCCATTATGCTCAGACGACTTATGGCTACGAGTCCAGACGTGGCCAAATCAAGGTATATAAAAACACTCACATACATCAATCAATTTTATTATGTCTATCTGTATGGTGATGATAATCTCCGTTTTGATGATTATGCAAGATAGTGTAGTACAGACGGATAGCAGCTCGGCGTCCAAGTTTCTATCCATATGTATATAAAAAAGGCGGTCGGTGGCTTAAGGACTCCATCTTGGGGAACACAAGATTTCATAGCTGGGGATGACATGAAGTCGAGGTAGACTATCACGATGATGTATGCGTAGTCAGCATTGGCATGGCTGTGTTTGCGTCGCAATACACAGGGTTTCTCATTTATAGCACATATCAACTTGAACATTCAGAAGCTCATGTGCATATTGATTGGCTGATTTGGGAATTGAGACTTGACATGTCAAACAAACAATCCTGGATGATTACCTATGATGAAACGATTACTAAGACATGCCTGCACTCGTATAATTGATCACTTCGAGATCCATGTCATCTGCACGAACAATTGAGTGACGTCCGTTCCGGATATCACTCAAACGTTGAGATAAAACAGAACCCATGAAACGAACAACAACAACACCAACGAATTGATACAAACACTTTGGAAAAGTCGGTAAGGCTATCATGCTACACGACCAACGGCAAAATTGTAAGTGGCTTACCTTGTGTGACATGCCACGGAAAGATCGGTAAGACGAACTGCAAGGCTGAGCAGAATATAAGACATTTCATAGCTCGCTCGGCCACTGCTGGAGGTCGAAGCAAGCCATGTTGGAGATCTTCAGGCCCAAGGTATCATCGCTTGGGCGCCACCTCTCGCTACAGCACAGATGATCTCGGCTATCTGTAGAGTCTAAGAGTCTAATAGATTAACTACCAAGGTTGTTGACGTTTGTTAATCCATGTATTAATGTAAAGCACTTGATTTAGAAAGCAAGGTCCCTCCCTCCCAAGGCATCGGCAAACTGCATCGTCCCAAAAAGGGTATTCATACGGCGTCCATTCGTTCCGAGAAACCCAAGATAACCACGTAACCTAACCCCCTTTTCAAATCTGTGGAATATAGATAACGTATCATTGCATGTTCTCCGAATCAGTAGTGATCAGCTTGTTTTCTACGTAGTATTCGCTGTAATATGAGTAGCGACAGCACAGCTTCGGCCCCCAAGACCATGCCTTGCCTTGGGACTGGCATAGACTGTGCCACAACTCTCTATACAGAAACGCCCGATGTTCGATGTTCGATGTTCGGGGCCTTGATCTCGCCCGTACCCGTAGACGTACCCGTAGACGTCAAGTCAAGTCAGATCAAGTCAATGCAACATGTTCCGTCCATGTTCGCCAGCCGTCTCCGTCTGCTGCCACTGGTTGCCGCCCGCCGGGTGCGTGGACAGTGGACACTGAATGATTGACAGCTGCCACTGCGATAATTAGCCCAATATATATCGATATCCTTCCTGGGCCTGCGTCATGGCTTTGTTATTCTTCCTTTTCCTCACAATCCCATTCCTCCTCCTCTTTGATAGATAGATACCTTACTTATCCCTCATATCTTGGTTATTTCCGTTCGCCTCGCCCAACAACCTCGCTCGAGTACAGTACGACATGTACGACTCGTTCTATTTTTCAATCAAGATGACGTCTTTGCTTCCTTCGACGCCTTCTATTTCAGTGGGATTGGCCATCTTGGGCATGATTGTCATGGGAATCATCGCCTTCAACGTCTTTGTATATCCCTTCTATGTATCACCTCTTCGACATCTCCCCGGACCAAAAGTAAGTAAACCAACCCATGCTTCGTTTTTGTATCATGTTGCTAACGCTGATAGGATAATGCCTTCTTTCTTGGACAGACTGTAAAATTCCTTCAGGTGCCTTGGTTCCCTGAACTCTTTTGCAAGTGGTCTCGCGAGTTTCCCGATGCGCCCATCATTCGATACCTGAACTTTGCCAATGGTGAGACACTGTTTGTAAACAGTATCGATGCATACAAGCAGGTCCTTCAGACCAAGAGCTCGTACTTTGTGAAGCCTGCCTTCGCGAAGCAGTTCGCGCACGAATTCATCGGCGATGGACTCCCCTTTGCTGAAGGCAAGCTTCACAAGGTCCGTCGAGCAGCCATCAGTCGTAAGTACAATCAACCCCGACCCAAATTGGGACCAATGCTAACTTCTTCTTAGAACCATTCTCGGCTGCACGACTCAGAGCCTTCTCCCCTGTTGTTCAGCAAAAGGCCGAACAACTGATCGATGTACTGACCCAGCAACGCAACGAACACGGTAACGTTGAGAGTAAGTAACCCTCCCCCCTTTTTTTGTGCGACTGAGCTAATGATCTCATAGTTGAGAGCAATATTTGGAAAGCAGTCCTCGACGTGATTGGACTCGAAACGTTTGGCCTTGATCTCAACCACCTCGAATCCGACGAGTCTCCGTTGTTTGACACCTTCACCACGATGATGCAACCCTCCACGTTTGGCCATGTTATCAACTACTTGAATTCACTAATCCCGATTCGACAGTATATACCCTTGAAGGAATGCATTGAGTTCTCTCAGAGCTGTGCCCGAGTCCGGGAGTTCATTGTAGGTTTGATGACGATCCGACGTAATCAGTGCGAACAAGGCCTTGTCAACGAAAAGAACCAAGACGCCCTCCAGTGTTTACTGGAACATACCGACCCTGATTGGAACGACAAGAGCGTCGTTGAATATGTAAGTCAACCCCCCTGAATTCCGAATGTCTCGGATTGTGCTAACAGTTGTAATAGGTTCTGAATCTTTTGATCCTTGGACATGATACGACAGCTTGTTCCATTACATGGGCCGTTCACGAGCTCTCACGCCGACCGGACTGCCAGCAGCGTCTGCGAGACGAGATCGCAAGCATGGACAGCACTTGCGGCGTGCCTGGCTTCAGCGATATCGACAAGCTACCGTATCTGCACAACTTTGTGCGCGAAGTTCTGCGACTCTACTGCGCAGGTAAGTAATCCATCTCCCATCTCCCATCTCCCATCCCCTGACATTAGAAGATTGGTTTAGCTAACATGTTTATAGTGGCCATGGCACCTCGCCAAGCGACCGAAGACGTCGAAATCGACGGGACTATGATCCCCAAGGGAGCCGTGATTCAACTCTCGCCCGCGGTGATGAACATGCACCCTCTGGTCTGGGGCCCAGATGCGCAGGAGTTCAACCCTGATCGCTGGAGCGATCTCACAGGCGGCGCGAAGAGCGCATACGCCTTTGAGACGTTTCACAACGGCCCGCGGATGTGCATCGGCAAGCAGCTTTCTTTCATGGAGATGAAGATGATGATTGTAGAGATGGTGCGCAAGTTCAAGATCGAGAAACCTCTTGGAGACGAAGAGAAGCAGGTTGAAGTCGCTGGCCCGGCTTTTACACTGCGACCAAAGGAGAATTTGGTTGTGCGTTTGACGGAGGTGTAAGAAAGAAGATAAGAGAGAGATTGTGATGTGTATAATTAGTTGGCTGGGCCACTTTGCTTTGTTTTTTTGCTGACATACTATACCTCACGGAGTTTTAGGATGCTACACACGACATGGACGAGAGGACGGGCCATGATATGACATGATATCCATTGCATTACCTAAGTAGATATTGGTTTAGCATTAGACACAGACACAGACTGATTCTGCAAGAGGCGGGATCAGGTGACTTGGAAGCAAGAGTCGCGATAGATTTGTGCATGTAGATTTTGAGCAATAAATGCATTTTGATTCTTTTCTATACTTTTAATTTGTTTCCATCATGACTTGTCTGCCTGCTTGTCTCATGATACAGAGACTCACCCCGCAATTTCTAGTCCCGCCGCCTGTTTCTCGAACTTTCCAGGGAACACGCGCTTAGAAATCCAATCAAAAGCTCTATCAAACCCTCCCAAAATCAAGGGTCCCTTTGCTCTTCTCTCCTCTAAACTTGGCTCAAGTTACGTGTGTCATTGTGGCTCGCCCGCTGTTTCCAGTGACTACCTACCCAACTCCCTGCTTGCTTCTGTCTTGTAGACTCAACAGCTTGTTCCCGTCACTTCCTTTCTCCATCCATTTCTCTTGATTTTGTTGCTCCTGTTTTCTTTGGCTCTGCTGTGCAGTTTATTCTCCTTTCCTAGTTTGCTATCATAACATCAGCCAGCGAGTACCTCTATAGATACCGGGCTCTCTTGTCCGAGCATCCGGAATACAGACAGCAACGAATCTTGTATCACAGCATTAATTACTGTCCAGTCTTACCACATCTCACTCACCCCAGTCTCACGCACCACACTTGACTCAACATGTCCAAGGCGCTACAGCTCAAGAATGAAGGGAACAAATGTTTCCAGGCGGGGGACTACTTTGGCGCCGATAGCCTCTACTCCAAAGCGTGAGCACATATCATCAGCACAGCACAGCACAGCCTAGAGAGAGAGAGAGAGCTTATTCTGACAAACATCGCAATAGCATCATCGCCGACCCCAAAAATCCAGCTCTTTACACCAATCGCGCCATGGCCCGTCTTAAGCTTAATTACTGGGACTCGGTGATCACCGACTGCGAAGCTTGTTTGCAGCTAACGCCCGACAACATGAAGGCCCGGTACTACCTTGCACAAGCACAGATCGCTCTTCGTGACTATGACGCTGCGCTTGAGAACGCTCTGCATGCGCACAAGCTGTGCGCCGCCACGGGAGATCGCTCACTCGCTGCTGTCACGGCTCTTGTTCTTCGCTGCAAGAAAGAGCGCTGGGACGATCTTGAGAAGAAGCGTGTTCGCGAATCGCGGGATCTTGAAAGGGAGATGCTTGAATTATTGACCAAGGACAAAGAGGCTATGCTGGCGGGGATAGATGATGGGATGGAGAAGCAGGAGATTGAAGAGGAGAGCAATGCCAAGATTGAGAGGATGAAGGAGATCTTTGAGAGAGCAAGGGCAGATGGCGACAAGAAGAGAGAGGTTCCAGACTGGGCCATTGACGATATCAGCTTTGGATTCATGGTTGATCCTGTCGTGGTAAATTCCTCACCACAAATCGAATGCCACACTTGCTAACATGTTACAGACCAAGACTGGAAAGTCATACGAGCGCGCGTCTATCATGGAGCACCTGAATAGGAATCATAGTGATCCTCTCACGCGCGAGCCACTTGTGCCCTCTGAGTTACGGCCAAACTTGGCATTGAAGCAAGCCTGCGAGGAGTTCCTCGAGCACAACGGTTGGGCTGCTGATTGGTAGTAGATCGGCAAGCAAATGACGACGAAGTTGGCCATAAGAGGATCGGAGGTCTTTTGATTAAAATCTTATTAAATGCTTGGAGTTTCAGGCGTTCAGAAGCTTATTCCAGAGATGCTTTGGACTGGTATAGCGTAACGGTTTGAACGAGTTCATGAAAGTAATAACAGCAATTCTCCTCTTATCAGTGCTGTAGCCAGTCGGTTCATAGATGATATGTTCGTAACGTATACAACTGATCTTTATTCATCATGTCGTGTTCTATCCTCCACTGACCCGGCCATCATGTCCCACAGCAGTTTTGTATATAAAGGTAGTCATCAAGCTCGCGCTCCGTCCAAGCCATGTTCTATACCCTACCTACTCAACCCAGGCGTGACGACATTATACAATCGCTATGCAACCGAATAACCCAACCAAGCGAACCCAGTAGCCCAAAAGAAAATGAACTCCAATAGCGCCGTGCAAATGCATGTTTTCACCCCTTCCTTGCTCATAGTACCACCCCGAATGCTGACATTACCCATCGGATTTGCCCCTAGAGAAAAGATGGGCCCGGCTGGCTATCGTCCTTGACGAGTCCGGCCCGCTCTTCCTCCGTTGGGTCCGCGACGTGTGATGTTGATCTAGACGATGAGTGAGGCCGCCGGAAAACGTTATGGAATGAAAACTGACGTCGTGTCGTATCCTGAGGTTGTCCATGAGGCGGGGGCGTCGGAGGCGCAAGGCTGTCACCACTTCGGAACGACGCCCCTCGGTACTCAGTATCCTGTCCATTGTACTCGTGCTCCCGAGTTTGACCGTAGTAAGCGGCGTGTTCTTCGTCGGCCTTATCCCGGGGGACGGCGATCTCAGTCAGGGGCACCGGGTGCATCGGGCTGCGGGGCCGGGGTTTATCGTCTTCATGATCGTCGTTGGCGTGTCTACCCGAGAAGTTGGTGAAGCCTCGGGCTCTACCTCGAATGGTACCTGCAATGCTAGAGAAGAGTGTGTTTGTTTCCTGACGGTTGTTTTCATCGTCGCTATCGTCTCCGTCTTCGACCGGTGGGAACTGCGACATGCCTAAAGGTGGGTGCCTTGGACTGCTTGGTCTTACAGCAAAACGGGGGGAGACGGGAGGCATCGGTGGTGGAGGCGATGTTACTGATCCTGCTCTAGAGCTGCTAATCGTCCCGGTCCTGAATGTCATTGTTCGTCTTCTTCTCAAGCCATCCCACTCCCACTCTGGCTGCTGTCCATCTTCTCGGATAGGATCCATGGTGTCCATCATCATCTTTTCCTCGTGCAGTCGCTTGAGCTCTTCGGCTTCCATTCTAAGTCGTCGCTGTGAGATCTGCCGCACGATGGCAGCGGCTCCGCGGATGGCATCGGCCTTGGGTTCTGACTCTGGCTGTTCCTGCTCGGCAATAGTCTGGATCTGATCGAGGTCGCCGCTGAAGACTGCGGCGTCGGGCACATCCTTTGCTGATTTTGAAAGCTGTAGTAACACTACTCCGGAACAAATTGTTAAGAAACCTAAAACAACGGTGACGATAGACTGGGCAGTGCCCTTGAAACCTTGGAAAAGAATTGCTGACGTGATAATAGTCGTACTGGTAAAGTAGACGTAATATGTCGGGGTAACGAGGGCTGCGTTATAGATGTTGAGCGCTTTCTGCGATGAGCTGTTAGTGACTGACATGGAATTGAGAACTGGGCTCATACGTTGAGATAAATGATCTCTGTCAATAACGTCCCAATGACAAAGACGAATAAAACCCATAGGAACCATTCCTTGTACTGAGGTTTGCCGCCGATCCAAGCAATGATGGCAGCACCCAGTCCTTGAGTCGAGACGACACTGAGTCCACCAATCCAACTGCAGATTGAGATATAGACCAGCATATTCTTGTTACCATATCTTGGTCCAGCCCATAATGCAGTGGCGATGGATCCAACTATAATGAGGCCGGCATAGGTGAGGAATCCCGGTGTAATAAAGTATTTCTGCATCTCTTGGATATCGCTGACGGATGATGTATGCGGAGCATTCATCACAATAACAACCGAGCCGACAATGCAGAGGAAGCAAGCAACTTTGCCGACCATGCTGAGGCGCTCTTTGAGGAAGATGGCCGAAAGGATAGCCGTAATAACAACGGACAATGCGCCGAGAGGAGTGACGAGAATTGCATCGGTGAAGGCATATGCGACAAAGTTGAGGATTTCGCCAATGATCATAAGTGTCATTCCCGCCCACCAGTAGAAGTTTTTGAGGTATCCATATCCTTCTCCGGCGACCTCGTTGTATTTCTCGTTGGCGCGCAATAATCCGACTTTCTTTAAGACGAAAGAGATACCGATAAAGACACCAGATCCAACAGCCAAACCAATACCAACGGGTTTATAGAATCCAGGTCGATCGCTCGGGTCGCCGCCGAGGCCGCCACTTCGTGCGAAGATATCGGCGTCCATTGCGGTCCGATATTCGATATTCAGGACGGAGACGGGGACGAAGAGGGAGGAGGAGAGTCGAAGCGGAAATCTAGACTCTATTTATGACCACATGTGCGATGGTGACGGGATCGGTTGCGGCAGCGACGAAGGACTCTGGTTTATAGGGGGTTGAAGCAAACTCTATAGCAATATAAGCTCATAAGAATGACGAATAATTGAAAGTATGAGCTACGGAGAAAGTAAGATAAGGTAATTCTAGGAAAAGAATATACAAGAAGAAAGAGTTGAGAAAGCAAATAGTCCGTCTAGTGTATGATAGTAAAGAACCTAGAAACCTTGGAAACGGCGTCACACACTCCAGGCCCAGCCAGCTTCGGATCCTTTGTGATGAAGATGAATGTGGGTGGGCTCCTGAGACACCCCAAAAGAACAAGTATCGGTACATGCGATGCCCATTTAGGCGCTGTCCCCGCTGCAACCTGCCAATTCTCAGTGGTCCCCAGCCAACCACTTCACTCAAACCTAAACAAGCTACAGAACAAGCTCCTCCGTCTGCTGGTTACCGGTCCATTGGGCGGAGATCTTAGCGTCGTAGACATCAACAAAAAAAGAAGACATCTACGTACTGTGTACCTCGTGGTTCGGCATGTCAGTGACAGTCAATACTCCGAGGCCGAAATCACAGAGAGATCAATCATAATTTCCTTGGTCACGATTAATTAACCAACTAATTACTAACTACCGGGGCTTTCCAAGTTTATGACCGAAATGCCATGGGCCATCACCCGCTCAACGGGCTCTTGGACCATCGGGCGCTAAACAAATCGACGTCAGCACCTCATCCATGATGAATGAGCCTGAAAACCATGAGACCTGTAAATCTGGGCTGCTTCAGTGGCTGCTGATGACTTGGAGATATTTGATAGGGGTCCTTGTATCGATCGATGCTTGACCTGCCCATCTCGGTAAGCCCTTGGCGCAGCATTTGGGGACGTATATGTACAGGTACTTGATGGCCCTCCGCCCCCAAAAAAGCCACTTACATACGTACGTCGAGGGGCTAGATGACGATGAAGCATTGCGCATCTCGTGGCCAAAACTCATTCCGTTGGAGATGGAGTCTAAAACGTTGAAGATTCTTTCTCTCAGATTGATCAAGTTGACCGCTTCTACTCGCCCACATACTCTGTAGAACAGAATTGTCGGCCGTACTGAGCTTGACCGCTGAATAACGAATGTTCATACTGAGCTGATCGTGGCTTCAAAACTGTTAGGCCAAGGCGGACTCTACTCAAGCGCATCCGCCAACGTGGGGTGGCCCCGGGGAGAAAGAAAACCTCTGGCGCTGGACTAAGATGTCAAAAATATTTAATCCAAGCGCCCCTGAATTTAGTAGACTAAACTTAGTCAAGCATTTTTGTCACTTGGGATAGAGGCCATGGGTTTTCTTGCGTCCCTTCGGGTGGTTGTTCGGCAGAATCTAGACCCAAAGTCTGGGGCTCTTTTTCAGCTTCCAATGTTCAAACTATGATACCGTACTCACTGAAAGCTGTTTCATCCTATGGACTACCTATTGTGCTATGTAAAGTCCGTGTCCGTTGGAGTTTATATCGTCAAAAGATGTGATCAGCACTATTCATCAACCATGTCAATGGCTCCCGAACCCTCCGGACCACAGCACTCACCTCTCACACTGCATTGATGTTAGGCCTTGAGTCCCTCACAGCCAGCAGAATGGGACTCTCCGCAGCTATTTCTGTCTCGGGACGACGCTGCATGCACACACACACACGACTCAGCCTGTTTCGACTCCACACACCAACTGCATATGTGGTGTTTCAGAGAATGTTATTTTTTCGCCCAGTGATCGACAGCGAATCAATAAGTTTCAGTGTCTCAATTTGCTGGTGGGTCGACAAATCGACCGGCTGCACGCTCTGGAAGCATTGAGCTCTAATAAAGTTCCATTAACTTAATTTTGATCAAGCGAACCTCGCTTGATCCGAACACGAACTAGGGCTGACGATATATGGCGTACTTCTGCTGAACTACAAGAGCGTAGAAATCCTTTGTAGTTGACCGCTCTTGTAGTGGGCAGATTTTCAAGACTTCGCGGGATTATAGTACCATCTAGTCATGCCTCTGTCACCAGACTCACGACTGTAGCGTGCTGCCATGCAGCTTGACGGACCGTTTGAGCTGCATCTGCGTGGCGTCAAGAATCGAATTCGCCGTGTGGCTTATGCTAAGCTAATACATAACTCATACAACCATACATATTGTGTCGTTTTCTATCATGTAAAGGGGGTATCTCGATCTTGTATTCATAAATGCCATGATGCAACCCGTTCCACTGAAGACTGAAGTTTCCCATCTCTTGCTATCCATGCCATGCCACGCCATATCGTGCTATTTCTTCTGAACCGGAACTATCTCCTTCAGCCACTTCTTAACTCTCTCATCCAGAGGCAACTTCTTGGCCTCCCCTTCGCTCATTTTCTTCGCAAACTGCTCTTTCAACTTCTTCTGAAGAGCCAGTTTCTTCGCATTTTCCTCTGCATGTAAGGCCCTACTTCTGGCGCGCATTTCAGCTATCCGTCTGCGTTTTCTCGCATCATGCTCCACTAATCGCTCAGGAGGCACAGGTTTGCCGGTATGTTTCTTAACCTTGTTCCAGAAAAGCCTATGCTGCTGCTCGAAGTTGTTATGAGCATCATTGTACATCGTGACTCGACCGTGACTTTCGACCAGTTCCTTGAATACAATGTTATACTCACTCCTCGTGGCTGTCTTGGAGAATCTGAGGCCCATGTCGATGACGGCGCACGCCAGTTCCTTGGAGCCAGGGAGGTCGAAATTGATTGCCATGAGAAATGATTGTGCCTCGGGATGAAGTGCGTGTAGAGGAGTGCCTAGGAGAGCTGACCGGACGATTCTAGGAACGAGTGATTTCGGTATTTCCTTTCCGCCGTATTGTTGCCACTCAGGTCGGGCTGAAGGAGACGCCGGTTCCTTCGTGCCTGGGGCCTGTGGTTTGGGTGGTTCTGATACTGCGGATGGATCCATCTTCTGTCGCTTGGCCGGGTTCCTTGGTGGAGGGCATGGCGTTTCTTCGCGAGATAAAGCTCTCTTCCTGGTGATGGGCTCTGGTTCCGCATTCTCAACAGGCATGTCGCCGACAAGAAATCGCAGAGAACCATACGTGCTCACGTCGTCAAATGCGTCATATAAACCATCCTCCGTTGAATCATAAACATCTGTATACTCTTCTTCTTCTTCTTCTTCTTCTTCTTCTTCTTCTTCTTCCTCCTCGTCTTCCTCACCGTCCTCGTCCTCATCGTCATCATACTCCTCCTCTTCGTTGTCGTCTTCTTGGGCTGGATTTACTATCTTTCTTCTCTCATACTCTTCACCATCATCATATTCGTACTATGAACGTCAGTCTCACCCTGGAAATGAGAGGAAAAGTCGATACATACGCTTGTTGTTGATTCGTCGGCAGCCTCAGCCACAAGCATAACTGTTAGAGCCGCGGCGAGATCAAGCTGCTCCCTTCGGGTCAGATCGTTCTTGATAATGTCCTGGACGACGATATCCTCGATTGTCTTTGAGTCAATTCCCGAGCCTTCCGGATACAAGTTTTTCGGGAGCCACGACATCTCTCTGGGGGCTTTATCGCACTTATTTTGATGTGAAAGTTGATGATGTCGATGGCAAGAGGTGAGATTCTGTCCTCATCGTTATTTTCTAGAAGGAAATGGTTGATTTTATTCCGCTCGTCAAGGTCCGATAAGACGAGTGAAGAGCCCAACTGGTGGGGGGAAATGACCTTCTCTGACCAATCACAGCCATTTTCGCTGACGATAAGGCCGTTCTAGAATTCTGAGTGGCAGAATTTACTTGGCATGGTCGCTTATCTCGTAATTTGTGTTCCGAGGCCGAGTCTCGCGAGTCGAGGCCTCTTGACAGGCAACCATGTGGCTTATGATTCCTTATATGTATATCACTACTGAATAAATTCACAACGTTAACTCAAACTGACTGACTAGACTTATCAGCACATGCTTTTCGCGTTCTTACAAATTCTCGCGTCTAAAGTCCCCTTCAGCCACTTAAACTAACGGGCGGTTGATCCCCAGTTTTTAAGGCTAAATGCCCCTGGCTCGCCCGAGGAATTAAGTCTGATCCTGAAATTAGAATGTCGCTCTTTTACCAGGAAACAGATCCTCCGACCCATTCTCAGCTGTAGCGCTGACGGGAGAAGATGTTTGAAGCGTACACGGCCCTATCAGTCTAGTCATGACCCTAGCTTTAAGAGGTTTACTCCCAGCATTAGCTGTTTGAGGACGATACAGCGCATTGAACAGCCTCCAGGTATGAACCAATAGCTTATATGGAGTGAGATGGAGATACAGGGGATCCTTCTTGTCCAGATGGAGTCTTGATCGCCTTAAATCAACTTTGAACCCTTCTTAAAGAATCCTATTTCCTGTATTCCTCGTGTCTGAGCTTTGCTAGTTTTTTCCTTCGTGCCTCGTCTTTGCCTGTGTCTCTGCCTGTCTTCGTCTTTGCATTCGAGTTTGTGTAGGCGCAGTTCTATCTACCCACTGAAATTACATCCACTTGGAGTTATATATCGATCAATTGTCGTAATCCTCCCTATAATGGCCAACAAGAACGCAAAGTCTCTCTACGAGGCTATTCCTGAATGTATTAGCGGCTGCTTCGACATCAGTGTCGCTAATACTGGCTGTGCCAAGGACGACTACGACTGCTGGTGCTATAAGCCGAATCATCAAACCATCGTTGATACATTGGAGCAATGTCTCTCGAATAAGGAAAGGAAGACAAAAGAGAAGTGTACTGAAGATGACGAATTCGGTATGTATTTGTCGACTCGGTATATGCATGCATCACTAACAGAGGTCAGAATATGAGAACAGTTACTGGAAGATTTGCGAACAATATTGGGAACCCTATGGAACAGCCACCGAACCAAAATCATTCCCAACTGCTGTATCATCTACGGCTTCAGTAATATCGACAACATTGAAGGTGTCGACAACAGTCGCCACTACTGCATCGTCATCTGAAGAGACAGCCGCAGCGGAAGATTCTACCTGGAAGAGCCTTGCACCAACTGAGACTGGCGCTTCCGAGCAAGCGCGGGCATCTGACAATGTAGATACAGTGTCAACTACTCATAGCGGCTTGACACCGGAGGGTAAAGCCGGAGTGGGCGTTGGTGTTACAATCGGTGTTATATTAATCGGTATTGCCGTCTTCCTCTGGCTGCGTGAGAGGAAACGAAGACGCGCAGTCGAGGACCAGCTCAGAATTGTCGAGATAGAGAAGGCCAACGCTTCTCAAGAAGGGTATCATGTCAACAAGGGCTTGTACGAGATGGAGGGTGATCGACCTCACGCGGAGGAACTTCGTGGATGTATGAGAACGCCAGAGCTTGGTGCAGCAGAGACGACAAAGTCAAGCAGCGTGGCACACGCAGGACCGGTGAGTCCATCTGATGACGATAGGGACTCGTCGTTTTCGACAAGGAGTCACTCGTGGCCTATTTCACCTGAGAATCCAAGTCGTCAGGAGTCAAGAGGTCTGGGTGAGATAACGGACAATAACATGGCCAAGCCAGCTGCTACTTGATGAGCTATTGTCTTTCGTGATTATCACATTCTTTCCTATACAAACATACTTACATGGTTCTTCTTTATTGCTCTTTCCAACGACTTGACAGCTGTCAATGGTGAAAGGAGGACCAAACGAAAAGCCCCCACTCGTTGGTATTGACATTTGGATCGATAATTGAATAATGGCTTTTGGCCGTTTGAAACGCTGGAGTCGGGTCCAGACATTACTGGTATAAAAGGCTGGGCTCGGTGGCATGCTATAAATTTTGACCCAGTCAACATCACCCTCCGTACCAACATCGGCATCCCACACATCTATTTCAGCAAAAGTTCATCGATCCGATCAAACTTCAAGATGCATGAGAACCGAGACACCATCGTCAAGCTCCTCGAGCGTCTCATGCAGGAGAAGAACCCTGGCGCCCAGACCCTGAGGGTATTCTCAACCACACTTACAGCTTCGTATACAGCAGAACTGACCCGAGTTACAGGACTACATCAACGAGACCTCCAACCTCAAGGACGTCATGATGGCGGTTGTTAAGGACATCGTCGCTGCGAAGAATGTTCTCGGTGTCACCGGCGGGCGTGCTGCCGAGCTCAACGCTTGCCGCGACGAGCTCTGCAAGGCCTTCGTAAGTCACTCCCATCTTCTTGCTGCCGCTCATGCTGATAAGATATAGGACAAGCACTGCCGCACCACCGAGGATGGCTACGACCGCCTCTTCCACCCTCGATTCACCTGCCGCATTCAGACCTTCAAGGTTCTTGCTGCCGAGGGTCAGGTCGAGGTCGTTCTCCGAATCCCGGCCCGCGAGTACAACGACTCCCCCCACGTCCTTGAACCTGGCAGATGCGAGGTCTCTCTCATCGTGAAGGAGAACTAGCTGAACGCTCGCTCATGATTTTGGCCCGACTTTGAGCTTGGGAAATCATCACAGGGATGTAGACAGAGAGGCAGAGGCGTAGAAAGTACAGCAAGATCAGAAGTTTCGGACAGACTTCTAGCTATAGAATCAAACTTGGTCTTTGCTTAGGACTCACTAGACTCATCTCTAAATCCTTAATGTTGCTTGTGATAGTGATCATCCAATGTCTCCCATAGTGGGGAAGAAGAATCCATGACGATCTAACCAACCGACGATAACACTCACGTTTAGTCCGTTACCTGAAACAAAATGCGAGTAGTATGTAGGCAAATCTGATTAGAAATTGACGAAATCTTAATTTTCTCTTCATCTTGAATCTTTTAGTGCAGATGGGAAGAGATCCTAAGGCTTGATATTGGAGGTACTGTTCCCCCCTCTCCACTATTTTATCTCACTATCAAATCTCCCTCTTTCAACATCGTCATCTACTCCTTCGATTCACAAACAACACCCAAAGATGGACGCGAGCATCAATAAATCTAACGAAGCCAATGAAGCAGAAGCAAACCTGGCACCTCTTGCACCTTTTAGTTGTCTTCTTTGTCGGAAGAGCAAACTGAAGTGTGACCGTACAAGGCCTTCCTGCAGTCGATGCAGCAAGCAAAGCTATGATTGCGTTTATGCCTTATCAAGGCAACCATACCAAAGCAAAAGCCGTGGCCAAGCAAAAGAGTTGGAGGCAAAACTCGGTATGTGGTGTCGCTGCCCAGTAGCAGAATAATTGTTGAACTTGGCCACGATAGGACGCCTGGAGAGACAGCTAAATGGCTCGCAAGAGGCGAGGGTATCCAATATCGAAAGCAGGCAATATAGATGCAATCGTCTTGCAATAGGTGGCGTTACGCCGATTAACCAAGAGGAAGATGCCGTTGTTAGGGTGGGCCTGTTCGAGGAGGTGCCTCCTAGACAGCTCATCGAAACATTGTAAGACGCCTTTCCGCACACTACAAACCATCGCCTCTGATTTAGTAACAATTGGATCAGAATGGACATATATTTCAGCAGGATCCATCAAGTAACCCCCCTGCTACATCGCCAGAGGTTCATGGCATCCCTCTTCCTGCCGGACCACATGAAGCCTCCAATGTGTCTTCAATACATCGTCATGGCCTCTGCTGCTGAGACATCTGACGCCTACCGCCACTTGGGCATGGTATTTTACAAGCGTGCCATTAAATATCTTCAAAACGACGACTTGGGTGTATGTAACGACTTTCCCTTCAAGGCACTTGCTAAGAAAAGGACACAGGACACCAGTGAAAACTCGATAACTCTAGGACATGTACAAGCTCGGGCTCTGATATCCTGTTTCGAAGCTGAGCACTCTATGTTCTCAAAGGCTTCTATAACACTTTGTTCTGCCATTAGAGCTGCACAGATGCTAAACTTGCATCAAGTTGACTTCAACGGACCGGGTAGGGGCCATCTTGTTGACTGGATAGGAGTTGAGGAACAGCGTCGCACATGGTGGACCATATTCTGCTATGATCGCTTTACCTGTGCCACAACTGGATGGCCGGCACTTATACATGATCATAACGTGAGTTTCCCAGCACAACCTTTCCGGCATACCATTGAACGCCCCTTTAGATCAAAACTCGACTTCCGGCCTCAGAGAAGGCTTATGAGAACGGCCAAGAGGAGCACACGCGCTTTCTCGGAGACCAGCTACTAGAATCCGAACAATACTCCACGTTTGCTGGAGCAGTGCTCGCAGCGCATATCTTCCACCGCACCATAGAACATACTGGAACGAATAACAGTCAGGATCAAGAGGATCTGGACTTCAAGGGGGACTTGTACTGGCAGAGACATAAAGGCATCGATAATGATCTCAAGTTCATGTTACTGATGCTGCCAAAGAACCTTTGTCTTCCCGCCAACTTCAGGACTCACAACGCCATTTTTGTCAACGTTATGTTACAGACGGCCACCATCTGCCTTCATCGGGCAGCTTTGTGGAGGATGAAGTCGAATTTAAATGGGCTACCGAGTTACATGATCCGGCTATCTCAAGACCGTCTACTTCCAGCAGCCGAAGAGATACTCAACATTTTTAGAATGATACCCGATCTTGGTGCGACGTTTACGAACCCCCTTATTTGCTTTGCTGCATATATGGCTGCTCTAGTATTTATGGCAAGTACATCTCTGGCAGAGCTTGATGAAGAATATGGGCAGAATCTAGACTTCATACTCAAGATTCTGGCCGCTTTTGGTCATACAAATCTCGTTGCCAATGCTTTGGCGAATGAAATTATCAAGGAAATGAGGCAATGTGGTATCACATCTCCTTCTATGAGCAAGGTTGGATATAAACACTCCTTTTCGGTTATACAAATACTTACAGTTCATGCTAGGTCAATTTACAAGAGACGCAACTAGATATTCCATTACTCGCTACGCAACGTCTTTATTCCCATCCACGGGGCTCATTCTCTTGAGGATACTGGGAAGCAGAGACCCTGGATGGCACGTCCTCAGTCATTCCATAAGATTTCCAAGACGAACACTATTATTATTACAACCCCAATGACTATTATGACTGTATCTTCAGCCTTGATACGCGAATAAGTAAGGCTCGGACGGAGCCCGCCTCCCCCCTGGACAACTCTCACCACTATTTGCGAGCAAAGTCGCTTTCCGTCTCGAGCCAGGTTCCGAATGTCATCAACTCAGGGTACTCCTTTCTCAGCGCCTTGAAATCCGCACCGAAGCCCTGGTCCTTGAACCACTTGAACATATAACCCAACTCCTTGACCATCGCCATGATTGGGTAAACAAAAAGACTATAGGTGTATGGGAGATCACGGCCTGTCTTCTCTTTGAAGATTCTTTCGAATTCCTCCAGAGTCAGTTCGTCACCTGCAAGTGACACAGCACGGCCGGCATACTTCTCGGGCTGAAGGAAAGCTTGTGCGCCAGCGACGCCCACATCGGTCACTGTGACGAGTTGAAGAGGTTTGTTCTTGACAACCAGCTTCCATGCTGTCACGAATGACTTTCCTAAAAAGTTGTCCGTCAAGTTCTCCATGAAGGCCACAGGCCGAATGATGAACCATTGCATATCAGTGCCAGTGGTACGGGAAATCAAGTGCTTCTCAATCTCGTGCTTTGTAATAAAGTGAGGAACTTGAGTTGGGTTGTTCAGAGAGTCTTGGCCGTGTCGGTCGACTGAAGTATAGACAAAGAACTTGGCCCCAGCATCTAAGGCAGCATCGACAAGACCCTTTCCCTGGGCTACTTCAGCACCATCTCCTTGGCCCATAGGGGACTATTTACAGGATCATGTTAGCATCTCAACTATAACCATCAATAAGCGAGTGTGCTTACCTGGACACTGAACACTCCCCAAATCGGCTGTTTTGTAACTTCCCGGGCCTTTTTGAAGATTGTGGCTGCGTCAGACAAGTCTCCTTGGACAAGTTTGATGTTGGATGATTTCTTGAGAAGGTTCTGAGCTGAAGGAGAGTTGGGGTTTCTGGTGACAGCGAGAATCTCCATGTTGGCATTTTGCTTGACGAGTTGGTTAAGAACAGCGCCTCCTTGCTTTCCAGTTGCACCGGAGATGAGAATTGTTCGTGGCATTCTTATGATGTTCATGTTGTCGACTTCTTATGCAGAGTGGTTGTAATAGTATGAACCGATAAATTAATTGTCTATGGAGGTGATCTATCAGACCTACTATATAGTATTTTCTAAGAAGGCAACCAGCCATCGCGATCTGTAATCATCGCGATAGGATTGTGTTTATTATAAAGCATATCAGTGCCCGGTGCCCGAATACACCGAAGCTATGACGGCCACAATCTCGGGTCCATATTAAAACACGGGTTGACTACTGAGCTCCGGTGTAAGAGACGGCCGAAGAAGTGGGGACGGATTAATTTCGCCCTCCGAATTGTGCGGTTCCGTCCCGACCAGCTCCGATCTTCAAGTTCGGATCAACTACCATCACCAACGTTATGAAGGTGGATCTTTCATGGCAGTGGGAATGAAACCATCAGTGACATAGATATAAACAAGTTTGGCCTGTAAATGACAAGAATAGAGACGGCGAATCTGTAGTTTTGCCGAGGACTACTTTAAATATCTTCATGAGTTAAACTCTTTAAATATGGTATCCAAGTTGTGGCAGCATCATGCGTCCTGAACCCACCACTCTCGGGTGATCATCATTCGATGCGATCGCAAACTATTCATGAAAAACGAAAACTTCAAAACTCAATGCATATTTTCGGTGGTTTTATTCTAATTCTGGTAGTTCCTCGTGCCATAGAGCAGGTCGAGATTCTCTAGAGGAGAACTTCAATTCGAGTTACCGATGAGCTTTATCGGCGTAATAAGTTAATGTAGTGTAAGATTTTGAATTGCTACTTGTAATGGTAAATTAAAGCTCCCTAAATCATAAGACAGAAATGAAGATGAAATAGGTATATATTACAGCATCTGCACACCAGGCGCTGATGCGCCTTTATATCTTGCTGCATACTGTGCACCACACTGTCTGATACTGTGCTCTACAACCCAGAGTCGGCAATTTGTGGATGCGTTTTGAAGCTTCACCCGAACAACACTATCGCGACCCGTGAAACCATTGGGAGCTGGCCCGGTCCAGCATCACTTCCCAGCCATGTCTGCCGCCCTCTTCAGATCACGAGCTGCCGTCTCCAGCACCCGAATTGCCTCCTCCGCCCGTCCTGCCATTCCCAGATCACAGCTCGTCCAGCGCCGCAACGCATCATCCTCCTCTTCGGCCGGTGACGGAGCTGCTCTCAAGCTTGCTCTCTACGGCACTGTTGGTGCTGCTGCTCTATACGGCTCATACCTCTACGCCACCGATACTCGAGCTTTCTTCCACCGTTGGGTTGTCCCTCCGTTCATTCGCTGGGCTTTCCCTGACGCTGAGGACGCTCATCATGCCGGTACCGTGGCGCTGAAGGTGACTTATGAGTTTAACCTTCACCCTCGAGAGCGCGATACGGCCCTCGACTCTCCTGAACTCGCCGTCAATGTATTTGGAACCGAAGTGTCGAACCCAATTGGTATCTCTGCTGGTCTTGACAAGGATGCTGAGATCCCAGATGTATTGTTTGAGCTCGGAGCTGGTATCGTTGAGGTTGGAGGCTGCACTCCTCTTCCCCAGGAGGGCAACCCTAAACCTCGCGTTTTCCGTGTTCGCAGCCTCGATGGCATGGTGAACCGATATGGTCTGAACTCTCGCGGAGCCGACGACATGGCTATTCGACTTAGGGATAGACTTCGACGATTCGCCCGATCTCTTGGTGTGACTGAGAAGGATGTTCTCGACGGAGAGGCCAATGTTCCTCCTGGAAGTCTGCGCAAGGGCCGTCTTTTGGCTGTTCAGATCGCCAAGAACAAGGAGACGGACGAGCGGGATGAGAAGGCTATTGCCGATGACTACGTATACTGTGTGCGAAGACTAGCTCGCTACGCTGATGTTCTGGTCGTCAATGTCAGCAGCCCTAACACACCCGGTCTGCGAGACCTTCAGGCAACTGAGCCTTTGACAAGGCTTCTCAGCGCTGTAGTTGACGAGGCTGCCAAGACTGACCGAAAGCAAAGGCCCAAGGTCATGGTCAAGGTGTCACCTGATGAGGATGAGGATACTCAAATGGAAGGTATCGTTGAGGCTGTTCACCGAAGTGGCGTTGACGGAGTCATCGTGGGTAACACAACTAAGAGACGAGATGGTCTTGTTCCTGAAGGTATTAAGCTCACTACTCAGGAGCAAAAGAACCTCATGGAGACTGGTGGCTACTCAGGACCTGCTATGTACAGCCGAACACTCGACCTTGTTCGACGGTACCGCAAGTTGCTAGACTCGCGTTCTTTCGCGGCAACAACTGGATCGCCACAGAAGGTCATCTTTGCTACAGGAGGCGTCACGAACGGCGAGCAGGCACGAGACATTCTCAACGCTGGCGCGAGTGTAGCCATGATCTACACAGCGATGACATATGGTGGTGCAGGTACTGTTACCAGGATCAAGCGGGAGTTAAAAGATGGTGGAAAGAATTAGACATGCTATAGCAACATTTCACGTTTTATTTGTTCGTCATAGGTATAAAAATGGGACAAGTTATGAAGTTTAAGTGGTTTAATCTGTTTATCAATCTTTCTTTTCTCTATGTTTGTTATTTTTGAATGTCAAAACCCTCAATTCCCAAAAAGAAGCTCCAAGTCTTGAACTCTTGAAGAGTAACCAGCTGCTTCTCAATATTCCAAGCTCGATCGACTGGGTCCAGCCATATCAAGAGATGAAAGAATGATCATCCAAATTGGATGTCAACATGAAAACTCCTCAACTCCAGGAAACACAGGGGACAAGGAATAAGTGGCTTAAAAGCCAGGCTCCTTGTTCAGCCACTGTCGAAGAGCATCGTACGTAGCCCCGAATCTGGGTCTGAAGAGCAGTGATGCGCTTGTCGGCGTCACTGATCCCCTTCATGGCCAGGTGTACATTCTCTGGCCCTGGATGCTTGCAGGCTTTTGCAATTGCCGCCTGTGTCTCCTCCTTGTTAATGACAAGGTGTAGAGACTCCTCCAGACACTGTAAGGTCTTCTTACAGTCGTGTACCCATTCGCGGCACTGATTGGCCACGTTTCCAGCGTTCGTTAACTCTTTCTTGTTGGTGATGCTGGCTTTGGCCAGATAGTTCTGGTCTCGGGTGGTCTCCTTGTACTTCTGAAGCAAAATTTCGTATTCCTGCTGGATTTCCTCCAGGCTCCAGCTCTTAGAGTCCCCAGAATCCGGGGGTGTCCAATTCTGCTGTCTCTGTCTGGCTGCCTTCTTTTCTTGGCTCTTTTCCCGTTGGCGTACTGACAGGGACCGGAATATGCCACGAATACCGGTGGGAGGTTCACCGTGGCTGGGGTCCTCGGAAGGGCTCTGTGTGAAGGACATGATGTCAGACTTCAAGTCAATGTGAGAGGATAGACAGAGAAGATGGAGTGGCAAGGTGGGTTTTTGACCTTGGGAGTGGCAGAAAATGAGAAAAGAGTATTGCGGTGGTAGAAGTGCTGTGAGAGATGTCGTAGAGGCTGCGGAGAGCTAAATGGTATTTGGTGATGGTTGAATAGTCGAGCAGAGACAGCTTACTATTCATAAGGTAAATTTGAAATAATCCGCAGCTCATCAAGTCGTTCTAATTCGTGTGAAACTGTTGCTTGTGAAGAGCTTGTTCCATGAAGTACCCGCCGAACGATGCCACCGTGACAATATTCTCTGTTTGTGCCGCTAGGTTCTCAGGAACTCATACTACTCTAATACGTCACCTAGACCAGTTGATACTGTTATCTGGATACAGTGGTTGTTGGATGTTGAGTCGAGGACACAATGCATGGCCATCGAGTTCTTGCCACCCTGATCCGACGACACATTGTCTATATATAGGTGAGCAAGTCGATCTGGACGTCGTTCTGCAGGTGTACGTGATTTCTGGGCCGTTCAGTGACCCTGGAAAGTATCTTGTTGGGCTAGAAGCTACCAGATGTGGCACGGGATCTATGTTCAGATTATCAGTACTGGAAGAGAGATGTATGTGAAATTGACATAACCTACAGTCACGCAATATTCATCACAATAATGACTACCGAAGAAAGTCGGGCATGACCAGTTCTTGGCTGCAATTCTAGTTGGAACCCCTCTATCAGCGTCATGTTCCAAGAGATCGATCTTGGGATGTCTCCTTTACCTTTGTAGCTTTGGCCGCTATATCTATAGTACGGCTCATTGTGGACTTGGACCCTTCTGCGTGCATGTAGAGAGACTGACCCCTGCATTATTATGGAAGGAGGAGGTCTATAGTCGGGTGTTCCTGATGAGATCTGGAATATATAGATTGATGCAAAGGCTGAGATTCACAAGATGCTAGAATCATTTTGTCGCTCTTATATAACTTACATGCAGAGACTTAGATAATTGCATGTTCTTTATTTATTTAATCACCGAATAGGCAAGGCAGCTACGTGCTGCTGTGTATAACGCGATATATACTAAGTTAGTAGGTAGTGTAGAGACGTTCCACCAATAGATGTTAATGCATACGGTCCCGAAAGCATGCAGGAAGCCTGAATGCATTATTTGACCTCCGGTAGGGTATGAACTGACCTGTTGGTGAGTTGTGTAATAAGAAAGTACTTTGTTCACATATTAGACTAAGAGGATGTCCATAGTTTGTCTTTATCCTCATAGAAGAGCGTAGAGTTAATATTAACTAACAAATGTATCGACTCTTGGGAATAACTATCTGTATTAGGTAGATATCAAGTTGTAGATAGAGTAGTATTCCAGGTATTTACCGGGTATCAGTAGTGTCTCATGTTATCTGAGGAGCCATTCACGTGCGCTCGATCTGCACCAAGGTCGCATATAAGCTAGGTAAGATGAGATTCGGTTAGAGGCCTAACATCTCAACTTTATCATAACCAAACAACGAACAACAGCAACAAGAAAGCAACACCTGATATTTGACTGAGTCATGGGATGCGACTGCTGTGGCCCTCCCGCACCAGCTGCGGAGTCGGTCACTGCTGAGACGCCTCCTCCAAGCGATATCGGAAGTTGCAAGGATGCTTGCTGTGATGAAGGCGACGCTGCCACTGAAGTTGAGGAGAAAGAGCCAGCAAACAGGGAACGGCTGGATGATTGTTGTGCTTCTGGTAGCTGTGAGGAGCCGAACAAGGATGACGCACCGGAATGCTGCCGTGGAAAAACAAGTCCATGCTGCAATGCATCTTGCATTGACCGTATCGCCATACGAGAGTGCGAGCTGAGTGCTTCTCAGAAGCGTAAGTTCCGGATGCCTACTCAAAGGCACTGCTAGCGGCAAATCTCTAACACTTTACAGCGGAGGCAAAGGGTTGCGGCAGCTCTAGCTCCAGCTGCAACGGCGCAGCTGACGGCAAGGCATGCAGCAAGCACAGTCTATCTGCTCTCGACCGCTACGGTGCAACTCTGAAGGCGCTCGGATGCATCTGCCGCGCTCTCATTGCTTTGGGTCAAGAGTCTTGCTGCGAGACCAAAGGCCGCTCTGTTGTTACCAAGCCATGCTCCAAGAAGTCGCCTTCCCGCTCTCTTATCCGGACATCAACGGACTCTTGCTGCAGCACCGGCTCTGTCACGAAAGAAAAGGCTGCGGAGAACCGTCTTCGCTTACGAAAAGGTTCCAATGAGAGTGCCAGGTCCGCCAAGCAGCCCTCTGTCAAGGACAGCTGCACCAAGTCGTGCTGTTCTGTTGTCAAGCCCGACAAAGAAGCAACCTCTAAGAAGTGTGCCAGCTCATGCTGTTCTGGAGATAATATTAAATCCAACTGCCCTGAACTCAAACCAGTCAAAGACAAAGACAAAGACAAGGATGACTGTTCTGGTGGGTGTTGTTCCAAGAAGGCTGCACCCAAGAGCCCAGTCATCGAAAAGAATTGTACCAGCAACTGCTGCAGCGATGGTGGCATTTCCAAGAAAGGTGTTGAAAGCGACGGGTGTCCTGATAAATGCTGCACAACTCAGCCGGAAGATCCATTGACTACCAAGAATGAACGAGTGGCTGAAGTTGCAAAGAGCGGCTGCGCAAAGTCCTGTTGTGATGAAGAAATAGCGGCGATCGTCAAGGAGCTACCCAAGTCTACGTGTTCCAGTTCCTGCTGTAAGCCAGCTCAGAAGATCCTCACCAAATCTTCCAACAGCTGTGTCGATTCTTGCTGCGAGAAGGCTCCATCTATCACCTGTCGAGACTCCCCAGCGGATGCTTGTTGCGTTTCTACGTCGCCTGAAAAGGGAATGAAGATAGGGAAAACACCAACCCCCGAAGATGTAGAGAAACAAGCCACAGGAAAAGAACATGTGGTTCTTGGCATCTCCGGCATGACATGCACTGGTTGTGAGACCAAGCTCAACAGAACTCTCGCTACAGTCCCAGCTGTCAATGATCTGAAGACCAGTCTCGTTCTCTCACGTGCCGAATTTAACATTGATCTTCATCTCGGCTCAGTTGATGAGGTTATCAAGCATCTTGGGCGAACCACTGAGTTCAAATGTGAAAGACTTCAGACGAAGGGGTCCAGCTTGGATTTCATCGTGAATGGCAGCACGTCTGGTTTTATTGGCCAAACATGGCCTGAAGGAGTTCTGGATATGAGTCTTGTCGATAAAGATACTGTTCGAGTCTCATTTGATCCCAAGATCGTCGGAGCGCGAGACCTCGCTGAAAGATCTTGGCACTCTCCAGTCAACCTTGCACCTCCTCGTGGTGATTCGTCACTTGAAGCGGGCAGCAAACATGTTCGTCATGTTGGGTACACTACTCTTTTGTCTGCTGTTCTGACAATTCCTGTTCTGGTCATGGCTTGGGCTCCGCTTCCTGAGAAAGAGGTCGCATACTCTTCGGCTTCCCTGGCCTTGGCCACCATTGTTCAGATTGTAGTTGCTGGGCCTTTTTACCCGAAGGCTATCAAGGCTTTGGTCTTTTCCAGAGTCATTGAGATGGACCTGCTGATTGTTTTGAGCACAAGTGCAGCCTACCTCTTCTCGGTTGTATCCTTCGGATATCTCATTGCTGGCAAGCCCCTTTCAACTGGCCAATTCTTCGAGACTTCCACTCTTCTAGTCACTTTGATCATGTTTGGACGATGGGTTGCAGCCCTTGCTCGCCAGAAGGCAGTCGAATCAATCTCCATTCGATCGCTCCAATCTTCGACTGCCATTTTGGTAGACGAGGAGACCGGCACTGAGCGCGAGATAGACGCCAGGCTTCTTCAGTACGGCGATGTCTTCAAGGTTCTACCAGATACTAGGATCCCGACTGATGGAACAGTCATGAGTGGTTCATCTGAGGTCGATGAATCGATGCTCACCGGCGAGTCCAGGCCCGTAGAGAAGCATTTCAAGAGTGCTGTCATCGCAGGGTCTATCAATGGTCCTGGACTCATGACAGTTCGTCTAAACCGCTTGCCGAGCGAGAACACCATCAACACGATCGCTGCAATGGTTGATGAAGCCAAGCTGTCGAAGCCCAAGTTGCAGGATCTGGCGGACCGAGTGGCCTCATATTTCGTCCCCGTGGTTGTGGCGTTGACTATTATCACTTTTGTTATTTGGGTTGCAACTGGCCTAACAGTCCGTGGCTATGTTGGCTCCAAGGCAACGACAGAGGCAATCACATACGCCATCGCCGTTCTCATTGTCTCCTGTCCTTGTGCGATCGGGCTTGCAGTGCCAATGGTCATCGTTATCATGAGCGGCGTCGCAGCAGAAAGGGGTATCATTTTCAAATCTGCGGATGCTATCGAAGTCGCTCACAAGACATCCCACGTTGTTTTTGACAAGACTGGGACCTTAACTCAGGGAAAGCTTTCTGTTGTTTCGAATGAGTGCGTTGATAAACGTACTCTTCCTCTCCTTTTGGGCCTGATAGAGAACAGCCGCCATCCAGTCTCCATGGCAGTTACGGATTATCTCAGAAATACTGGACTTGAAACTTCGGTCGTGGGTGAACCGAAGAGTTTAACTGGTAAAGGCGTCGAAGCAGTTGTAAAGGGTCAGGTGTTGAAAGCTGGAAATTCTACATGGCTCAATCTCTCGGATGACCCTCTTATTCAGCCTATGCTTTCTCAGGGTCACACCGTCTTTTGTTTCACAATAAACGACGAGCTGCAGGCTGTTTACGGTCTCCAAGACGAACCTCGAAATGATGCCTTTACCGCGGTTAAAGCCCTGCACATGCGAGGCATCTCAGTTCATGTGGTTTCTGGCGATGATGATACAGCTGTTCAAAACCTGGCATCCAAGTTGAATATCCCACGAGACAATGTCCGCTCAAGGACTTCACCTTCTGGCAAAAGGGACTATATCCAAACGCTCCTCGGTAATTCCATTGATCGTAAGAAACTAGTTGTCGTCTTCTGCGGCGACGGTACAAACGATGCAGTAGCTCTCGCCCAAGCCACCATCGGCGTCCACATGAATGAGGGCACAGATGTAGCCCAGTCCGCAGCAGATGTCGTTCTCATGCGTCCCGCTCTAAGTGGCATTGTTACTATGATAGACGCGAGTCGAAAGTCGGTCAATCGCATCAAGTTTAACTTCTGCTGGAGCTTTGTGTACAACACTTTTGCCGTTCTTCTCGCTGCCGGGGCATTCGTCAATGCCAGAATCCCACCGGAATATGCAGGCCTAGGAGAACTGGTAAGCGTTCTGCCGGTGATTCTTGCGGCTGTACTGCTGCGCTGGTCGAAGATCTAGTCAGGATATTGAGACTCAACGTTGTAACAGCGCAGCTTCTGTTCACTCTCATTTACCTTCGACCAGAAGTCCTGTAGCTGAATGTTTCTTTTATGCTACGCTTGATTTCGACCAGCACAGCGTTGCACGCCTGTCGTTATTACCGACCTCTATTGCTTTGGATTTCGACGAGAAAATACGTCCTTGGGCGCCCAGAAAACATCAGTACCCTTCTATCCAAGCTCCATGGTGAGCTTTCTTAAACTACTGCGAGTTCTAACCCAGACTTGGAGAAGTCTAAAGGGAGATCCGTTCAGTTTCTTCTTCAGTGTCCACTCGCTTTTACTATGTAGGCAGATAGTCTTCATTGCTCGCCAAGTTGGCTTTGTTACAAGAGCAAAGCTAAAGCGGGCAATGGCATTTACCCATATAGTGTCTTCCACCGTGTTCCTAGTCCTGAATTGTGATCTCAAAGTGAAAAGGCTCTATATCCTATTGCCTACACGCACTGGTTTTGAGCTTATCATAAGCATACGATCTGACATTTATAATTACAGCAAATTTCTCTTACTTATACTGCCAGAGTATAAATGCTTACCCAGAAGTGGACGAGAGCCCAGTTCACGCCTCCAACCATTATTACCCCCAAAGTCCGTGCCGTATTTTACAATATTAGTATTACATGATTATGCCTCCAGACCAACAAAGAAACAAGCTCTCAGCGATCTTCTCAGGCCATTCCTAGAAATCAAATACAGAATCTCAAGATCCAAATACAAGGCCCCACGGTAACTCAGCCAGCCACACCCAGCAAGAGATTATGGGTACCAGGGCGAGCAAAATCCACCAAATTTCAACGGTGAGTTTGATTTGCATCCAGCGTGGTAGTTTCCTACTCAGCAATGAGCGATGGGTGCATGTCTTTGTCCCGTAAACAAGACAGCCAAGGCCAGGGCGAGATTCGCATTCCGCATGTTCTCGTCTTCGTTGCATAAGTAGACTATAACAATTAGTCGATGGTTCATTTCAACCACATCAGAGGATATTTGACGTACGGTACACTCCCGCGGCAGAAACGCAGATCACTCCCGAGATCGCACCGCCGGTCGTTGGGGCATTCTAGATGGAGGCTCCGTCGTTCCACTAGCCATTCCACTTTGAGGTTGATACCAGTATCGACGAGACTATAGAAATAGGCGCTGGTGTGTTTTAAAGACAGTGCATCTGGGTAGATGAGGCAATCGGATATGGCGAGATGTATTTCTGTTGGCAGGGACATGAAGGTCCGCTGTGGTGATGAGCCATTCCCGGCATCGGGCCCGGTTGTGGGGCGACGGAGGACGTTGGGCATTGTGGAACGGAGAACGGAGCGGGACGATTGAGTTCCGAAAGAGTGGCAAATTACTATGAAGCCTTTGGTCTAGATCTGGGAATATGCGAATGCTTTGTATCTGGCTGCTGCCTTGTACGAGGTCAAGAACTTGGAAGCCTACACGATAGTTTACTTAGGATAGGACAGGCCAGGGTTGTTGTAGGCAACGCCCAAGCCAATAGGGCAGTGCAGAAGTCTAGGTCATTTGTTACCTTGGTCGTTTCAAGGCACTTTCAGCTGTAGGACTATTGTTATAAAATTAGGTTCAAGGCTGAGAGCAGCTCGAGTTTTATGTTAATTATTGATACTCGAGGAGGCAGCCAAATATCTATTCTACCTATTTCGGTTGTTAGACGAGTGATGGTGAGAGGGAGAGCCGAGTGCGGGCATGTCTGTCTGTTTGCAATAGGCCTATGGCTATAGTTAGTATTGTTCTCCACACACTCAGATTAGCCCCAGAATATTGTTTTTGTCTTGGACTCGACTGATTCATCTGCGAACATCAATCAATCACAATATCAATCAATTAGTACCTTGTCTACCAAGTCAGGCCGTAGATTTCTGCCCAAGGAGGTATTCTTAGGCAGTTGCGTATCACTTCCAACTCCCCACGTGACCCCGTGTACTCGCTCGCGTCTTCTAGAGACAGACGCCAAAACTCCTCCTCGTCATTCATCATCAAAATCCTTGCTAAATTTAGCTGCAAATGCCATTTTCCCCGCCGCATCCATTCCCTAAAACAATGATTCATCGCCTCGAACGGGAGCGGCTGTGATGACGTTCGATAGCGATAACGAGTTCGGCTACGATTTCTCTGTCGAGGAGGAAGAATTGCTCCTTCAGTTGTCTGCTGAAAATAACAACGTCCCGAATAACCCAGAGATTGCAGCTATAGACTCTGTTCCTGAGAGACACGATAGTCTACACCCTCAAAATGACAGTGGCGGCACATCAACTTCTGGCGTGGACCGCCTTCAAACAGGCTCCACGAATAGTCTGTACAGAGGCAAGGCCTTTCATCACCTCGACACGTCTTCTGGTCTGCCAACGCCGCCGCCAGCTTTATCCTCAATCGAGGACATACTCTACCCGGATTGTACGTGATGATACCCTCAAGAGGCTTCAGCACTAACTGACCAAAGAGATTAGTGAGCAAAGCCTTGAAGGATTTGAAACCAAAACCACCTCCAGAATCAGAATCAAGTGTCACTCCGACACCAGCAACTGAGGCAATCGAGGCTGATCCGTACGATGATGGCCGCTCACCTCTGCAGCGGTTCAGGTCATATCCTAAGAGACCACTGACCGTGACCGATCTCACGTCTGGTGCTTGGTGCGAGCTACAGTACTGGTATACCCTCACTCGCTTACCTGGAGGTCGAAGAACCAGAACAGCAGCCATGAAGCAAGGAACAAAAGTTCACAAAAAGCTTGAAGATGAAGTCCACACTACAGTTCAAATTGACATCATGACCAAGGAAGATGCATTTGGACTCAAACTGTGGAATCTAGTTCAAGGACTCAGAACCTTGCGAGACACGGGACTCACTCGTGAACTCGAGGTATGGGGCATGGTTGATGAGAACCTCGTCAATGGAGTCATTGATAGCGTGAGCTACGAGAACCCCAATCCTGAATTTGAAGCAGAGCTCTCTAGTCAAGAGTCTGACACGACCGGACGACAATCCTCATTGACTGACTACTTTCCGCCAAAAAACACGAATCATAAGAATGAATCAGGGCCAAAGATTTATCTTGCAGACGTCAAGACTCGCGGATCATTTTCTCCTGTTTCCAACGCTCAAATACGGCCTGCAAAGATTCAGTTGCTTTTATATCATCACTTCTTGTCTAATATGGCTGCTGGAAAACTGGATTTCTTCAAAGTCTTTCGGCGATACGGACTTGATCCAGATGACGCCTTTTCAGATACTTTTATTGCACAAGTCGGTAGCCTGCACGATGAGATCTTTGTGGATGCATCAGAAACAGAAACGGAGTTCACCCAAGAACATCCCTCCTCGAGTTTCCAGAGTTCTTCGTCAGCTGGACCAGATCTGTTGCAGTATCGAACTCTACGCGAACTCGTTCCTCTTGTCGAGCGTGAGATGGAGCTCACCTTCCCTCAGGGCGAACACTCTCTTGGGCACATGCTTCGAGTTCAATACGTCCACCGCAGTGATGGTCGTGAGATTGATCTTCACGACTTCCCTGTTTCGAGACAAGCTTTGGAGACCTATCTTGCTAATTACATGGATTGGTGGAAAGGGAAACGCGATGCAAGAGGCGTCGATATAGAGGAAGCATTCAAGTGTAGAACATGTGAATTTGCCTCCGGTTGTTCATGGCGTCAGGGCATGGATGATGAGATGTTACAGAGAGCCAGGGCGCAGCAACAGATAAGGGCTACGCGTCGGGCGCGCAGCAATGCTGCTTAAGATTGGAAACAATCTGGATATCATGAGTTACGATGCATTGGAACATATTATGAGAATTGTATGAATTGTTCAAGTCTATGAAATCCATAGAAAGATGTTGAGCATAAACAAGACATTTTGTTGAGTGGTTGTATTGATTCATACTGATTTCTATTTATCGCCTATACCGAAGGCGTCTATGTGAAAGAAAGGAAAAGGAGGCGCAGTATAGTGTTCACTATGTTTAGTGCTTTCTATGTCGGTGAGTACGGGTCATTCCAAACCCCCAGCCATCTATATCATCGTCAGCATGGTCTTTCATGTCGCAGATACTGGAAACCTACATTGAGAAGCGACGTGGATGTCAACATCTAGCTCATCCGCCCAGTGCCAGACAAGATTAGGGTCCTTGAGGAAACCCCGTCCCACCAACACAGCATCTACAGAGCCATCACTCAGATAACCCTGAGCTTGCTTTCCGGAGGTGATCATTCCAACTGAAGTCACAGCAACTCCGGTATCCTTGACAGCTTTCTTCACGGCGGCAGCATACGGGACTTGATATCCAGGACCAGAAGTGATCTTCTGACGACTATCCAAACCGCCGCCTGAAATATCGATCAGATCGATACCATTTGCAGCCAGGATTTGACCGAGCTTTGCGGCTTCTTCGATATGCCACTGTGGTAAAGACGAATCGAACTCGAGGTAGTCTGTTCCTGGCATGCGGACAAGAAGGGGAAAGTCCTCGGGGACGATATCGCGGGTGAGTTTAACGGTCTCTAGAAGGAGACGAGTACGGTTTTCGAAAGATCCGCCGTATTGGTCGGTTCGTTGATTTGAGGCTGGGGAGAGGAATGCGTTTAGGAGATATCCATGTGCAGCGTGGATTTCGATGGCCTAAAGACGTCAGTGTCGATCAATTCATATGTACTGTCCGGAGATCTTACATCAAAGCCAGCCTTGAGGGCTCTCTTCACAGCAGCAACCCAATCTTGCTTGAATTTGGTAATGCCATCGCTTGTCATCTCTCTGGGAGTAAGAGAGTCTGGACTGTAGGGAACTGCACTTGGTGCAACCACTTCGTCCGGCCAGCCACCAGCCTGTAAGTAATAAGTCACTGATCACATAACTGAATTTAGTGGTGGTGTCCTACCTCTTTGACAGCTGTGTTCTTGCGATCCAGCCAGGGCACAACAGTACTCGCCTTTCTCCCGGCATGGCCCATCTGAATAGCAATTCTCGCGCCTTGGCTATGCACGAAATCCACAATCTCTTTCAGAGGCTCAAGCTGTCCATCTTCCCAGATACCGGCATCTTGGGGGCTGATTCGTCCCTCTGGTGACACCGCATTTACTTCCGTGATGATGAGTCCAGAGCCACGTGCGGCGAAACTTCCGAGGTGTTGCTTGTGCCATGGGGTCATGTAGCCATCCTTAGCAGAGTATCTGTAGTGTTTGTTAGGCATATGGTAGTGGCACGTGAGGGGCTACATACTGGCACATTGGTGATACGATGATACGATTGTGGAGCGTTAGACCTCGTAGTTTGAGGGGGGAGAATAAACTACCTTCGGGCTGAACATCCCATGGGGTTCCTGCAGGAGGATCTTGGATGGGAGTGTAGAAGGGGACCTGTGGTTGTGTTAGTGAAGGATATGAATTGTGAGTGTATCAAAGAGACCAACATTTTTGGCTCCGACGTTGATGAGGATTTTTGGGTGACCGTCTGCTTCGACTGAACCCATGATTATTATCTTGATAACACTGTTATATTAGATCCAAGGGTAGTGGTGGTGATAGTGGTGTAGTTAATTAAGAGTAATGGACTTAAGTGTAAGAGGTTTTCTGATACAGGAGGAAAGGCCGTATACTTATACTTCATTACTATAAGATAAGTACCTATCCTATAATAAAAGATGCAAGTCCGGACCAACTCCTCCATTTCACCATCATCACAAATTCAAAGGCCAATGACATCAATGTCAAGACTTGTGATAAACCCGAACAGCGAGTCCTCTAGAACCCTTGTTTCACGAAAAGCCATTCGAGGTAATTGTCGTAATCATATCATGTTCTGCATCGGCTTCACCGAATGAGATGTCTTGGTTCTCGGTCTTCGGCATGATGCATCGCTTATGAATATGTGTGGCTTGCCTTACCAAGAATGCATGGAACGTTGAGTGACGAAAAATCTACTGATTATTTTGAGTGGTTCCCGAGTAAGTCGGCCGACTCTGAAATGGGCTCTAGGGAGTCATTGGCAGCATTGTCGTTATTGGAGTGTTGCAGTGCGATCAACTACGAATAAAACCGCTCTGCTATAGACTTTAACTGGAATATTCAATAACTAGAAATTTAAGGAAGAGGGCATAATCAAGTTACAGTTGTGGTGTTGTAAATAATAAGTTCAAAGAGCCTCAGGAACCAAAATGATTTAGGTTAGGTAGGCAACCTCGCATTATAGAAGAACTTCCCTTCTTCAAGCATCACTTACAACTACAACTGAACCTCCACAGCCCTGGCATCATGCAGCGCTATAGAGAAGATGCCTCTGATGAGAGCCACGATGAAGAAGATATTCCTTTACACTACAAGCGGGCTTTCGGCGCGGGGCTGAAGCGGCAAAGGGTCGAATTTGTTCCCGCCCAAGATCCTGATGCTGGAACTACAACCACAATAACGCCAGCCAAGTCAACAGACACTTCCATTGGCGATTTATATGCTAGCATCGTTCTAAAACCTTCCCAAGACAAAAATACCAAAACCGCAGAAGAAGAGCCGGAGGAAATATGCCCAGACTGCAAACTCCCCATCTCATCCACTTCACAGCCTCACGAAGCATCCTTCGCTCACCAAGTCTCACTCACACATTCACACCCCCCATCAGCACTTGATCGCTCGCGCATGGGCCTCAAAGCCCTAAAATCCCAAGGCTGGGACCCTGATGCCCGACGAGGTCTAGGAAGAGAGGGTGAAGGAATGCGATATCCTATCAAAGTGGTGGCGAAAGAAGATACCCTTGGAATCGGAGCAACGATACCGAAGGAGATCCGGGAAAAGAAAAAGGAAGAGAAGCCCAGGCCATTAAACAGAAAGGAAGCGAAGCAGTTGGCGGCTAAGGAACGACAACGGCACGAGAGACTACAGTGTGAGATTTATGGGAGAGTTGATGTGGAAAGCTATCTAAGAGGGAAAGGCGACGACGGTTGATGATATAAGGCAATGAGGAGAGACAAACAAAGACGACTCGAGGTACCGGCTACATTGTGTCCCGTCTTCGACATAACAGGCCCTCACGCGGTTAAAGAGATGCCCACTCTAGGACTTGCCCAAGGACTCACCGCCGAATCCAAAGACTCACCCGGAAAGACAGCAATTGACGACTCTGCTGTACTCGAAGCCATCACAGCTAGACATTTGGGTTCAGAGCATCGCGATACCAATGCGATCAGCTCCTATTTCGAGAGCTATCTCTAATCAACCGAGCTTAAGCACTGAGGTATATCGAGAGTTTCAGATTGAACCAAGTGTTTCATGTTGCATAAACGAAACAGTGATAAACATACAGATACTATATCTCTATCGAGATCTCCAACAGAATATCCACAAATTGTGTCCTACCTACAAAAAAGTCAAGATGTGAAGTCGAAATATACTCAAAATTCAAGCATCTGTGATGACCTCATCGAAGTTGAGGCTGATACACCGCTCCCTACCTAGGGTATGTCATGCTGCTGATGCTCTGTCCTGTAGGCTTCCTTCAGGGTCCTTTATAGCGACCATCACTAACCAACCACCGGGCGCTAGCGACTGCAAGACCTGGACCCACCTTCTTTCATGCCTTCCATTGGGATGATGAAACCCCGCCAAATGGAAATCCATAGGTACCTTAGTTAGCACCTCAACTCCTGACTTGGGCCCAAACCCAAGCCAAACTTAGAATCCTCGTCCTCGATACTTGAGCAAACCCTCCACTCTCAACTTTAGCCACTTTACACACACTGCACCATTTTTCTTTTAACTTAACTTTGATACCCCTGCGCCTCGCCGTATCGCTTCAATTTCAAGGTTCTGGGCTGGATCCTACTGCCGCTTCTCTCCTTGTCAAACACTATCTCAGCCTCCCTCAATATCTCCATAACCTAGGTACCCAACGACGTGACAGGGCAGCCCGCCTTTACTATACACCATGGGGCTGTCCGTCATTCAAGAGCAGCATGATGGTATGATATATAAGATGCAAATACTATGCACAATTCGTTGCTAATGCGCCGGCTTCAGCTATCTTGGGGCAGATCAAGAAGATCACCCGAGGCGATGTAAGCTACCAGCCAGGCTTTGAGCTCGACAGTTGACTGACGTCTTTGACGCAATAGTGGAAATGCCTGATCGTCGACGAGAACTCCAAAAAGATCATTGACAACGTCGTCAAGGAGGATGACATTCTCAATAACAATATCGCCAGTTGGTCTATCTGACTGCCAGTTAGTTGTCTGGTACTGACCAGCCTTTCCTCCAGCTATCGAGCGAATCGAGAACCGTCGCGAACCGAACCCCGAGATGGACGCAATCTATATTCTGTCACCTGAATCCTTCGCTGTCGAGTGCCTTCTCGCCGACTTCGAGTTGCGACGTTATCGCAGCTACTACCTCGTCTGGACTGGCCTCCTCGACCCCTCATTGCGACGCAAGATCGACGACTTTCCGGGAGCCCGACAGCTCCGCGCCGGCTTCCAAACCATGTTCGTCGACTTCCTGCCTCGAGAATCGCATCTCGTTACCCTTCGCGATCCCTGGAGCTTTCCCATGCTCTTCCACCCAGCCTGTAACGCCGTCGTTCCAACACACATGAAGGGTCTAGCGCAAAAGGTAAGGCGGCAGCACGCTTCATTCGGTTGACTTTTGCTGATAAGAAGTTAGATCGCCGGTCTTTGTATTACACTCGGAGAATACCCCAAAGTTCGCTACTACAAGCCGCAAAGCGCACGCCACGAGGCAGCCGTCCTCTGCACTCACCTGGCTCGATTTGTCCAGGAAGAGCTCGATGCGTATGCGCAATGGGACACTAGCTTTCCCCCACCCTCACCGCGGCCACAAGCGACACTCGTCATCACAGACCGATCGATGGATTTGATGTCACCTTTGGTACATGAGTTCTCCTACCAAGCCATGGCACACGACCTCCTGCCCATCAAGGACGGCGACAAGGTCACTTATCGTACGACAATCAACGAGGGAACTCCAGAAGCTGAGGAGAAAGATATGGAGCTCACAGACAAGGACAAGATATGGGTGGACAATCGACACAGACACATGAAGGACACGATTGATAAACTTATGGGCGATTTCCAAAAGTTCCTCCAACAAAACCCCCACTTCACCAATGAGAATGCCGACACGACCAACCTTAATACGATTAGAGATATGTTGGCAGGCTTGCCGCAGTTTCAAGAGATGAAGGAGGCATATTCACTGCATCTTACCATGGCGCAAGAATGTATGAACATTTTCCAGAAGCACAAGTTGATGGATATCGCCTCTATAGAGCAAACGCTCGCATCTGGGCTGGACGAGGACTTTAAGAGGCCGAAGAACATCCTCGAAATGATCGTACCTCTGTTGGACGACGAGGCCGTATCACCTTCAGACAGGCTGCGCCTCATTATATTGTTCATTCTCTACCGAGACGGTGTCATTGACGAAGACATCAAACGACTCTTGGCCCACGCGTCCCTCCCTCAGTCTGACCGCGAGGTTGTGCTGAACTTTGAGCAGCTTGGTGGACATATGACACATGCGCTCAAGGATGTGCGCCAGATCCCTCCGCCTCTATTCCCGATCGATCCAAAATCGACACAGTTGAACGAGGAATATGGATTAACACGATTCGAGCCAGCAATGAAACACATGGTGGACCATTTGGCAAGGGGCATGTTAGATCAGACTCACTTCCCTTATGTGAAGCCACCACTGGACCCCAATGAGGAGCTTCACTTGGCACAGGGAGGTTCTCTTCGTGCCGGTCGACCAAATTGGGCAGCAGCCGGACGCCGTCCACCAGAGAATCGACAGCGATTAATTGTCTTCATGGCTGGAGGTGCTACATACAGCGAGAGTCGGTCGTGCTACGAAGTCGGTGAAGCGCGCAGTCGAGATATTATTCTCGTCACTTCTCATATGATTAGTCCTCAGTTATTTATTCGCCAAGTGGGCGATCTCAGTCGCGATAAGCGTCAACTTGACTTGCCCCTGGAGCGACCCAAACGACACGCTCCACGGCATCTCTTTGAGCGACCGGCTCCTCCTCGCCCCGCGCCATCACAACAGCCCCCACAGCAAGCACTGCCGCCTGGTCCTACAAACCGACCCGGCGGCCTCCCTTCAAGACCTAGTCCTGGCATGGCGCCTCCAACGGCTGCCATGTCAAACATGTCGATTAATAATAACCACGGTAACAATGCAGCACCACGGCCGACATCGCACCACAGTGTTCAACAACACCACGAGGAGCCAGGCAAGCTCCACAAGGAAAAGAAGAAGCGTAACTTCCTCGGTATCAAGAAGTAGGGTTCTTGGAACGGGGGTCTCTCTTCAGCTTCTCCGCCGAAATCAAGGACTATTCGACGATCGCAGACTACAGAAACGTCAACTTCGTCTGAAGACTACAATACAAATACGTCGCACAAACCAGAAAGGAGTGCTTCCAGTAGCAGCCGGTTGGTTGGTTCTTCGGCCTAATGTGACTTCTCAGTAAAGCACATGGTGGAATTTCTGGTTTCATAATTCGTCGACGTAGCGTGGCGTTATACCACCCTCTTTTGTGTACTGACTACTATCTACTATGTTGGAAGCATTACTTAACTTGGCAACTCGAATGGTTGGGAGACGTTCATCTGTATATATCAGCTGTAGTGTATAAACGTCGTGAATTCTTTGTTCTCGTTTCAATATGACCTTTGAAGTAACTGCTATGTACCCCTCAGCATCACATTAATAGAAATCGTCATGATCATCACCGGTAAATACCCAGACCCAAAATAAAGAAAACAGGAAGCTGTTCTGAATCGTCCATCAACCAATCCATTTGAATTCACTACCTAACTTTCACCGAGTTAAACCATCATGCCTATATCCCTTGATTTCCCCCCATCGCCGTGCTTCCCAAAATGACACGTAAAAAAACAAGTTACTAGCTACAGGGCGTACCCTGATTCCAAGCATGCGTCCAAAAGATGCGGTGACTTGATTTCGGTAGATATTCGTACAGTAGTGGAAAAAGCCCCTTTGTTAATTGTAAGGCTTTGACTTTCAAAAGTTTCTGCAGACAGGCTGATTGATTTTCCGTACAAAATTGGTACAGACTTTGTGGTCAAGGGTCGTTTGATTCGATGTGTTGAAGCACGGTATTCGTACGAGATGTGATTAAGGTCTCCCGTAAGCGGCACCACGGCCGTTGCCAGGAGGCGGCATACCGCGGCCTTCAAAAGGACCGCCAGGGAAGTCGGGTCCAGGGGGGCCGTTGAATCCGCCGAGTCCAGGGGGGATGAATCCGGGAGGAAGGCCGCCATAGAAGGCAGGGGGAGGCATGTTTCGAGGAGGAGGGCCACCCAAGGCCTCGAGAGGAGGCATCACGCCAGGAGGAAAGTTGGGAGGAAACATGTGAGGCATTGGCATGTTACGGCTGGGTCCAGGGCCGCCAGGGCCACCGAGACCAGCAGGAAGTCCTGGAGGAGGGATCATAGGACCTCGTTGCTGAGGAGGAGGCATTTGGCCACCAGGCATCCAGCTGGGAGGCATCTGATGGTCCAGACCAGGAGGTGGAGGTGGGCGTTGCAAGATCTGTGTAGGCTGATTGGATCGAACATCAGCGTCAGGAGGGTTGTGGAATCGGTCTTCCATAGGGAAGCCAGGCGGTGGTTGGCGCATTTGACGTTGGGGACCACGGTCGTCTCTTGGGAAATCGGGCTCCTGAGGCATCTGTGGTGGCTTCTGCTGCTGTGGGCCCATACGCATCAACAATTCATTGCGCTGGGCATCGGGAGGTGCTCTCATGAGATTCATCAAGAACTCCGTGTTACTGTTGTTACGAGTGGCATCAGGACGTCCAGAACCTTGACTGGGAGCTCGTTGGCGCTGGCCAACGATATCCTGAAGAAGTTGCTCGGGGCGAGCAGCTTGTGGCTGGGGTCGAGGTGCAAGAATCTCTTGAACATGCTGAGGCGGGATTCGGCCAATAGGTCCGTCCATTCGTCGATCAGGTCCATACTGCTGGAAAGGAGATTCAGGAGAGGTAATGGCATTGGGCCTGCCAGCGTTTGGCGGCGTACCTTGAGGGGCAGCAAACGCGGGCAGTCCTGGTGGTGTGTCGCTCATTGTCTGTTTCTGCAGCTTTGCCAGCAGTTGCTGGAAAGCTTGTCGCTCATCTTCGCCGCCTGCTGGAGGAGCTGGGCCGCCTGCAAAGGGGAGAGGCAACGGCA